TTAAGAGTTAGAATGTTCATGGTGTCCTACATTTCCTGGATGTTTCTTTATATATTTTTAATTTAATATTCTTTGTGTGATCTCTCCCCTCTACTTTATCTTTGAGGACTGATACAGTTTCTTATTCTTGACCCATTCTATATGTAAGACATTCCCCTGAGTTTTCTAATTGGATCATTAAGTTTTTCAATTCTGCCTTCATTTCAGCTTGAGTTTTCTAAATATTTCTATTTTCCAACTGAATCTGTTTTTCAAATCCTGGGTTGTCTTCATTATTTCCATCATATCTGTGTTTTCTTGGACATCACCCAAGCATTTATTTTCTTCTTTGATTTCATTGAGCTGTTTCTTTGATTCTTCTCTAACCACTCAGAATCCTTTGATGAAATTTGTGATTTCTCTTTCAGATCTGTGTTCTGGGGTTCATTCTCACTGGAGAGCATGTTGTAGTTCTGCTGGATTTGGCTTGGGAAAGATACTGCCTTTATCATTCATATTGCTTGTATTGTTCTCCATGAGAACTGGGTATGTAGACTTTTGTTGGTTCTGTGTCTGATGTGGACACAGCAGTCTGGCATAGAGCACAGGATTTTAGGAATGGCTGGGATTGGGAGTTGGGTACAGTCAGAAGGGATGGATTCAGGTTGTAGTGGGGTTTTGGGTATGGGAGTCTCTGCAACCACCACAGCCAGAAGAACACAATCCATGGGAGGGAAGAAGGTAGCCTGACTCTGAGTAGTTTATGTAAGCACAGAAAATTTGTTGAAAAATTCCTGTTGATAAACTATACCCTGTAGCCACAATAAAGCTTAAGCCATGACTACACCAGAATTCTTTATAAGGTACATGTGATTTCTTCCATAAAGATGGATTCTATAGATTGACAGCTCATGATGAAGATCTGGTAGAAGATCCAGTGTAGTCTTTGATACTAAGATAGCTCAAAGGTCACCAGGCTCTTAGCCCTATTCATTCCCAGACCCCTGGAAGGGAAAGAGTTAATACATCATTCTCTTTGATAGGACAATCCTATGTGTTTAGCATTCCTAGTTCCCCTAGTGCTTGTCTGTGACCACAAGGATCTCTGTGTCTCCCACAGTTGAGGGGAGAACCTGGACCTGTGTGTAAGATGTGAATCCTGGCCTGTGCTGGAGGTTGATGACAGTGTAAGTGGAGCTCAGCAGGGCAATGCGTGTGGAGCCCAGGCTGGATCAGAGCAAGGGGGAGGGTATGCAGAGAGTAGGATTAGGCAGACCCACCAGGCTAGACCTCAACACAAGATATTCAGGACAGGACTGGCTCTAGAGATTTGAGGTTGCAAGGAAAAGATGAAATCATCAGATTCCAGTGGGGCAAGGACAGAATTTATTTATCATTTATTTATTCATTTGAGATAGGGCATCACTATTCTGTAGCTCTAGCTGTCCTGGAAGTTACTATGTAGACCAGGTTGGCCTTGAGAGTTCACAGAGATGCATGTAGCTCTGCTTCCCAAGTGCTGGGATTAAAGGCATGTGCAAACACACCCGGATAAAGACAGAAACTTTTCAAAGATATTTTCTGTTATTGTTATTTTGCTTGAAAGTGTATTTTCCTCTCTATTTTTACTATTAAAGTATTTTTTAATTTTTATTTTACATGTCAAGGTGTTTTGACTACATATATGTATGTATCTCACCGGTGAACAGTGACCACAGAGGTCTGAAGATGACATCAGGTTCTATGGAGCTGAAGTTACAGATGGTTGTGAGATGTCATGGAGATGCTGGGCACCTAACCTGGGCCTCTCCAAGAAAAACCAGTGCTTGTCACTTGTGAGCCTGCTCTCCAGATTCGCCCTCACTATTTTAAATATTTAATTTTGTTTTCTCTGGTATTTTTTCTTTCTTTAAAATATCTTTACACTAGTTATCCAATTCCTTCTCCTGTAATTGCACTCTTTTTTTAGACCTTAAATTTTCTCCTCTATTTTTTATTCTATTTTTTCATTTTTATTTTTTTGTCTTGTAATTAATGTTACCTTTAAATTTTGTGGCTCATTGTACAAAGATGTTAGTCACTTCTTTTCTCTTGTTAGTGTTCTTTTTACTTAGCTTTTCCTTATTTTTACAAGCTTTGCTCTTATTTGTCATGATTATTGTTTGCCTTCTTGGAATGTGCTCCTGCAATCCAAGGAACACATGACTGACATATATATATATATATATATATATATATATATATATATATATATCCTTTATTCATGTTCATTTTCTCTACTACCAGTATAAACAATTGCTGTTCATTATTTAAAAACCCCAGATACTAGTGTCTGTGGGCTCTCTCAATGCAGCTTTCCTAGAACTTGAACATCTTCCTAGCCTCTTCGATTTGTTTTGCATCAACGGGAGGCTTTCTCTGGCTGCCAGGCTGTAGGAACTTCTTCACATTGGGCAGGCTGCTGAGTCTGCTCTTCAGGGCCTGTAATCCAGAAAACACAGCCTGAGAGTCAGAATGGCTTATGTGGACAATCCAAAAAACTCTGAGCCCTTTCCAGAACACAACTATCTGCATCCTTACTTAGCTCCAGTGTAGACATGAGTAGAATGATAAAACCATGAGCTGAAACCATAGCTCAGAATAATGTTCCTAAAGACCTCCTTTGACATCCTCTTACCTTCTTCTCTGGTCCCTGACATACTCTGTAGTCTGGGTTTGTGGTGCAGAGCACAGAGCACCGTGTCTCTCAGGTGTGAATGCAGAGACTACCAAAGAAAACTGAAGACATGAAAAACTGAGTTGCAAATGGACACAGAAAATCTCAAAGTCTAACCAGGAGCAACTCACAGCCAGTTTTCAACCTGGAGATAAGGATGGGGTCCCTAGGCGTGAGGACGGCATTGTGGGGGCTGTGGAGAGGGAAGCACAGTGTTGAGTAGTCAGAGCTGAGGACGGGGATCAGCATGACAGAGACCCGCTGAGACACTGAGTGTGCAAAGACAGGACACATGAGATGAAGATTAAGGCCCGAAGCATCCTCCAAAAAACAGGGGTCCAAGGAAACTCTTGCATCTTTCTCATGACAAAAGGCAAAATATTCTTGGAGTACCAGCCTCCAGACTCCATACACAAAAGATAATTTTCATGCCTGAACCCAGGGTCCAGTAGCTCAGTTTGGAGGCCCGAGGATGGGCCCTAGGAAGACCATAGGCCACCATTATACTCTCAGAGGCATGTGTGTGTGGCTGCCTCTCTGAGGCGATCTCACCTTCAGCAGGGGGAAAGGGGCCAGAAGGCTGGAGTCAAGCTCTTCAATATAGAGGAGAAGTTCCAGCAGGTGAATGTCTACCCTGGTCAGCCTGTTGCCAACAAGGTAGTCTTGTCCATGGCTCTTCAATACCTGCAGAATTAAGGGAGACTGATTATGAACATAGAGTTGGGCAGAAACCACTGACTTTTCCCAAGTCTCCCAAGGGGTGGCTCTGCCTCTGCCTGGCAGGGATAGACATGCAGACATTTCTCTAGGCCTAAGATACAAGAGGGAGAGGGAGAAGTCAGGCAGGCAACCTCCTCTTTAAAGTTCAGGTGACCTTTCTCAGTCATTGCCAGTTCCTATGGCCTTCACACCACCCACCCTTCTGTACATTTTCCACCTGAGGTCAGGATTAGCCCTGACACATCTTGTTCTTCCTCTTATTTTAAGCTGATGGGACACTGGAATGTCAGGACTTTCCTCTCCCTGTGCTCTGTTCAATCTCTCTTGGGCAGAGGCTCTGCCTGCAGGGAGCATCAGTCACAGAGAACATCCCATGTCTCCTGTCTGCTCTCCTCAGGTCTCTGGGATCTGAAGTACACCCAACTGAACTACAGCACATCCTCCCCTTTACAGCATTGGCTCTGACTCCCATCCTTCACTGTGTCATGATTGACATGCTGAATTGCACAGGGTGACCTGAGTTGGAGTCTGTAAGTAACATTGTACTGATAACATGTGAATGTTGACAGATGAGCATGCCGACACCATATGGTGCTAATCTTGCTATCTGATTGGCAGCTATGTATTTATTTAACATTGATGTCAACATTTCTGGTTGTGTGAAGATTGGATATTAATACTGTCTTAGTTACATTCATATGGCATTTACTTAAATATCCCAGCAATATGAAAATCACAGATAATCACAAAGAAAAACCATTCTTAAGTCATGAGCTACAAGTAAAGAACAATCAAAGGCTTTGTGATCACCTTCTCACACTGTACATGTCTACAGAGAAAAATATAATTAGCACATCCAGAAACAACAGGAAACCAGGTACGGTGGCACACAGATATAATCCTGGCACTCAAGAGGCTGAGGCAGGTGGATCTCTGTGAGCTCAAGGCCAGTTCACATAGAGTGTTCTGGAAGAGCCAGAGCTACATAATAGAGAGAACCTGTTAAAAAAAAAAAAAAGGAAAAATGAAGAAAAACTAAAAATACAAAAGGCAGCATCACACGTTCTCAGTACATAGATCATTGTATGAGTGCAGGTCATGAATCTCATACCAGAGATGCTGTAAGCTGTGATGGCTGGACATTATGTCCTAGGAGACAGGGCCTTAACTCCAGAGGGTTGTGTGAGGACCTGATGGCTCCTAAATCCCTTTCATCTTCCACAGAGCAGAACAGCATTGAGTGAACTTTCAGTGAAAGGATGAAAAAAAGGTGATGCTTTGTAACATGGGGGTCAAAGTCAGGTCTCTCAGGAATGTGTAGGATGCCCATATCCTCTAAGATTATAGCTCTGTTCTTATCTTTTACTTGACAGACGATCAAGTAGTTCTAAAGTGTTCTTGATCTTCCTCCAAAGAGAAGCTCTGACTAAGAAAGGTGTGGTGGTAATTATGTTCCCCAAAATATTGTGCACACTAACAAACATATCTGGGGTCAAAGAACAGAACAGCCACTAGATACAGAGGCTAGAAAATGGTTTCACTCACACTTTTAATCTTAGCATTCCAGAAGCAGAAATCCCTCTGGAATCTCTGTGAGTTCAAGGCCACATTGGAAACAGCCAGGCATGGTGACACATGCCTTTAATCCCAAGAAGTGAGCCTTTAATCCCAGGGAATGAAGGCAGAAAGCAGAAAGATATATAAGGTGTCAAGACCAAAGACAAGAAGTATTTGGCTGGTGAAGCTTTTAAGCTTTTGATCAACAGTTCTGCTGAGACCCATTCTGGATGAGGACTCGGAGGTTTCCCAGTCTTAGGAAACAGGATCAGCTGAGGAACTGGCAAGGTGAGGTAGCCGTGGCTTGTTCTGCTTGTCTCATCTCCCAACATTCACCCCAAAAACTGGCCTCAGGTTTGATTTTATTAAAAAGAACTTTTAAGACTCCAGCTACAGAGAGGCACTCCATATCACTGACACACCTTCATTTGAAGAGTGTACATGGCTCTCCTCCAAGCCCTGCATCTGTGACCCCAATCCAGGCAGATTAGTTTTCCTTAACATCACATCATCAACCTCCTCCTCTCCACCCTCCATCCCTGTCCTTGTTCAGGTACTACCCTCTGTCTTTGAAGCACTATCATATTCTCCTGACAGCCAGTCACTCTCTGCCTCCCTGTGTGATCTGACAGAATATTTTCCCATCTGTGTTTTTCTTGAGTTTGCTCTGACATTGAAGCCTGTTGTGTTCTGCAGGATCTGGGTCCATCCTGGTGTGGCTCAGCTTCCACAGATCAAGTTCTGGTTGTGGCCATGAACCCTGTTGCATACTGACCCCTAGACTGGCGTGACCATGCAGGGCTCCTTCACAGGCTGTTTTCCACAGTGCCCTGTGGGGTAGGGGCTGCACAGAGAGGCTCATGGAAGGTCAGTACTGGAGCAACCTTTCTCTCCCAGACTCTACCTTTCTCCTGTCCTTGGAACTCAGTGTCCCCTGACTTCAAAGAGCCCACTTACTTTTTCAAAGGCAGGCAAGTACCGGTTTTTGGTCTTGTCTTTTATCATGGAAATCTTGGCTTCTTTCTGGTCCGGGGGACATAGTATCAGTTGCAGGATCATTTCAGTCACATCTACAATACCCTCTGTATACATGTCAATTCTGAAAGATAAAATTATCCAAATGGTCAAGGGTTTTCAGGGATTCACTATTTTACATTTTAATCTAAAACCCTGAAAAATTTACACTGAAATGTGGTTGCAAGCTTACTCGCCTCTAGTGGGTTATTATTGTAGCTAGAGAATTTTTCTCTAGGTCCCGCCAAGTCACGCCAGTCCTGGCGCCCACTTATAAAATAAACACAGAGACTCTTACATTATTTAAACTGCTTGGCCATTAGCTCATTGTCTAGCCCTTACTCTTATATTTAGTGCTGCGGGCCGCAGGAATATATCATAAGAACTCAGCTGGTTATGGCAAAGTCACTACCTGGAGGAATCAGGGAATTCCTCCAGAGGAAGCCAAATCCTAAGGAGTTTATGGTGTTACTTGGCTTGTTAGATATCAGCTGTCTTCTGTTATGAAAATCATGTGAGCCTTCATAGTCTTCCCAATTGACTTTTCCCTAAGAAGGGCTAACAGTGTGGACTGATCACTCTCTGGACATACACATTCCAGGTCTTTGGAGAACTGCCTCAGGAAAGGCTTTCTCTGGAATCAGATATCTCCCTTGGCTTCTTTCAAGGACTAGCAGTAATAACAATCCACATGCAAGTCTCCTGATTTAAGACAAATTCCACAAGGAGATACCGCCTAGGTCAGGTGGATATTCAGTAATAGCTTTACATAATTTAGCTTGGACCTTCCTTTTTTACAGCCTTACTAACTTTATAGACCTCTAACTCCTTATCTAACCACTTCTAGGAATATTTGGATAACCTTCTGAACTGACAGCTATGCTCAGCCAGAACCCCAGTTCAAGCCTCCCTGTAATTATCATCATTGCCAGCATCTGGCCAGGTCCATCCCCAGATGGAGGAAAGTACTTTATCAGAGATAACTCCGTACTGTCTAAGAATAGACTTAAGCATCCGGGCCACCTGTTAGAGAAGGCCTAGCAGATGTGCCAATTAAGCCTTACTTCCTCTTTCCCAAACCTTACCTCTAGTTCCAGATCTCCCTTTAACTATCACCAGAGGCATCTAGCTGTACAGGTTGCCTAGCGTCCAAGCACACTTTCCCCCACCCTGCAGAAAAATGACAGGTAGCTTGGACAGATATGAGTTACAAGAAAAAAGAAGACAGTTTTATTTTCTCCCAATGATGTATAGAATCCTAACATTTTCTACCAATCTAGTTTAAGATTATAGTTGTGCACATAAGAGCACTCTTCTTAGATATTACCTGAATTTAGCCTTTAGTTAATTCATTTCCCCATTGGTCACTTCCCTTTGGAGCTGCAATGATAATTAACGGTTATTGCCTCCCTGTGTGATTCTTATCACCCCTCCGTTTGACCCTGGAAGCCTGGCTTTGCACTGTTAAGCAATTACTGCTTGTAAGTGTATATATACCAGGACTTCCAGGGCGCATGGAGGACAGAGAAGAGAAAAGAGAATGGAAGAACTAGATGGGTAAGAACTTGAGAGGAACAAACTGAGATGGGCAAGAAGTAGATTGAAGGGCTAGAAGTACTAGAGGAAGGAGATGGAAGAAGAGGAAGAGCCAGATGGGGAAGAACAAGATGAGGAAGAACGAGATCAGGAGAGAGGAGATGGGAGAGGAGATGATAAGGGAAGGAACAAGATGGATGAGAACCTGGAAGGGACAGAACTAGATGAAGGAATTAAGATAGAACCTAGAGGAGACCACAGACAAGTGTAGAGAGAAATCAGGCTAGAAATGAGCTAAATATGAGAGCAGAATATAAGCTTGTAACTGACACAGAATAATATGTATCTGGACTAAGGAGTTTCATGTACATAGATTCATTTCTTCTCATCAAAGATTAATTATCAGCTGGTTTAGATTCTTCCCGGACCCTGGGAGGGGACTATCGAGGGGCTGGACCCCCATTGTCCCTGATAATTTAGCCCATTTCTATTAATCTATGCTTTGCCATATGGCTCGTGGCTTATCGGTACCTTACATCTTCCTTGTACTGGCAGCGGCTCCAGCCGTCTCCCCCTCTGCCTTCCTGTTCCCTCAATTCTCCTCTCTGTTAGTCGCACCTATACTTCCTGTCTGGCTATCAGCCAATCAGTGTTTATTTATACAGAGCAATATCCACAGCATATTATCCTTTATATTTAACAGATTTAACTTTCCTTCTAGGATAGCCTGTTGGTTCAGATACACTTTTAGAATTTTTTTTACATACATGGCCCATCCCAAGGACAAAGAGCATCACTGGCATTCCAGAAGACAACCATCAAAGTCTACAGCTCTCTCTCTCTCTCTCTCTCTCTCTCCCTCCCTCCCTCTCTCTCTCTCTCTCTCTCTCTCTCTCTCTCTCTCTCTCTCTCTCCTCTCTCTCTCTGACATAATTTATTCTCAACAACCCTGCTGAGATTCTCAGAGATAACAAGCTGCCTCCCATGTAAGCTTAACACGGAGCCGGAGCCCTCGTTGAAGCACCAGATGCATCTCTGGGTATGTCTCCTTCTGCTGCCTGGTCCAGAGTCATTCTTGGTCAGTGTTAGAAGTTCTCCATGTAGAACATCTGTATGTCCTTCACACAGTGCTGCTGGATTCTGGCCTTCTTAACTTTTGTCAAGACTTGCCTATTTCTTTATTCAGTTGACCCACAGCACAGCAAAGGACACATGTGTTCCCTTCTTTAAACTGTATTTCACACAGCTCTTTTGGAAAAGAGTTTCATTGTCACATTTTCACATGCTACCATTGCTGGCCCCCAGAAAGGTGGTATTCTGTGTTTCCATGAATCTGTAGCAGTCTAAGCATGTTAACATCCTCCAGTGTTAGAGGAGGTTGATCCTCACTCCCTTCAAACCTCTAATCCCGCCCCTGTGGCAGCTGCTCCAGAAGGTGCTGACCCACTTCCTTCTTTTCCATGGGGAGGACAGGAACGTTTCCTATGGAATGAACCATGGAGCATGTGCCCTGGTGTCTGCCTACTTTACATAATGCAGTGTCCACACTTGACCTTTGTTCTGCGTCCCTCAGCACTTCAGATATTTTCATGGCTAAAATTATAAGTTGTGCTCCTCTTTCCTCTATTATTGAATATCTGGGCTGAGTCCACCATGAGAAAATTATAATGCCGTTAGGTTTATTTCTATACAAGCACTATTAACGCCGAGTCTCTCTTTCCATGGACATATGTTTCCCACACTAGTGTTGCTGGCTAGCACCACATTTAGCTCTCTAAGCAACTGCAATACTCATACACAGTGGTTTATGAATGAAGAACTTTGTCATATCACAGTGAGTCCCAGCATTGGTGGTGTAGGCAACCTGGATGCTTTAGTTCTGAATTAAATGCTTTGGGTAATCTTGGTCCATGGGAACGAGTTTATCTAAGGCTCATTGAGTTGACCAGTCCATAGGACTGGCTGACAATTCAGGTCTTGCTCTGTATTATTCTTACTCCTGGGATGTGGGAAGCAGCTCCTTCCTCCTTCCCACCCTAGGACTCCTCCTCTAGCCTCAAGCCCTGTGTCCTTTGTCCTAAGCTGTTGGCTGAGGTCCAGTCACTGAAGCCTTGAGCACCCGGAGTCCTGATTCCACCATGCTCAGGGCCCTTGGAACATCATATTTGCAACTCGGTTCCTGACCTGTGCTGGCAACATCATCCTCTGCTGCAGTCACACTCACCTGAACCCACCCCAGCTCCTCCTCCATCTCCTCCATGGACTCCTCCATACTCGGACTAAGTGTTCATATCCATAATCAGCCTGCTCCTAGACTCAAAGCCTCCACTCTCTTGCTCATTGATGGAGACACCAATTCCCTCCTTTGTTTCCCCTTGGAGTAATAACAGGAAATGTACCGTACAGGGCTCTCTCCTTCACGTCCTTGCCATAGAGGTCGTATTTGGTGGCAATGTAGTTGAGAATGGCTCTGGTCTGCACCAGTATCATTCCGTCAATCTCCACCATGGGCACTTGCTCAAACATCAGTTTCCCATCTTTGAAAGAAGAAAGGAAAGAGGTATGTGAAGTATTCAAGTCTCACTTCTGTTTTTTTGTTTGTTTGTTGGGTTGGTTGGTTTTTTTTTTGTTTTGTTTTGTTTTGTTTTTGGTGTTTTGAGACAAGGTTTCTCTGTAGCTTTGGAGCCTGTCCTGGACTAGCTCTGTAGACCAGGCTGGCCTCAAACTCACAGTGATCTGCCTGCCTCTGCCTCCCGAGTACTGGAATTACAGGCATGCGCCACCACAGCCTGGCTCAAGTCTCACTTCTCAGGAACAGAAAAGTTGTATTGAAATGTCTGATCATGCAAAGGAAAGATAAATGATTGGCAGCCAGTCTTTAATTAAATCCCATTTACTCTTAGCTCCTGCTTCCTCTTTGTCTCATAATCTTCTCTTGGCTTTTGAGCTTTGCTCATTCACTGTTATTTCCTATCCAGATTCATATTATATCTCTCATGCATGTTTTTATGTTCAGTTCTTGTCTCCGGATACATTTGAGAGTTAGGAGGGACAGCAGAGGGCCATCATGCAAATAGAGCTATGTAGGGAGTTTGGAAATCTAGTTATCTTCAAGACATAAGGTGTATGACAGTTTCCTGTGTAGTGAGCCACTGATTCCTCCAGGCTGTATTTGTGGGGTGATAGCAACTCATCAGTAGCTAGAATCAAAATGCTCAAGAAAATTATCCCAGGTGTTTGTCCACCCATGATTTAATCAATGGCCATGTACCTGTGAGGTTATTGGGCATTGTGGGTGAAGAAAATGATGGTAGAAGTGAATAAAAGTGAGCCTGAAAGAAATAGCTCACTCTGATGCAGAAATAGTAAGAAAACATTTATTTACCGGTCACCAGACAAATGTTTGCAGAAACTAACTTCCTCTCTCTTATCATTGTTTCCATTTTCAGAGCACTCAAGGAAACCCACCACCTACATCTTATCACTCTGCCATTCTTGACTATTCTCACCCACCACCATCACCATCTGGTAAACCTTCAACTAGGGACCTCATTGAAGACATATGGATACTTGGTGTTACCTTTTCTTAACTTTTCCAAGTCTTCTGGACGTTCTATAAACTTCTCTTCAAACTGAAGACAGAAAAAGTAAATGCATTTTCATTAGCTCATTCTGTGTTGTTGTAGACTTTTGAACTTGAGTGGTCTGTGTCTGATAGTACATCTGCAGTAGACCCGAAGTGTCTGATCATGGCCACTTGATAATTCAAACTAGATCCATCAACAACAAGGTGATGAACATAACAAAGCTGCTCATTCTTGTGGTGTTCCTCCTCCCTGACCGCACTATGTCCATGCTTAGATCCTAAGAAGAGAGTGATCTTCCTGGAGGACCAGCACTGGGAAATGGACTGTTGAGGTTTTGAACTCTCAGCAAAGCCTGTTAACTTCAGTGATAACAGAATAGAACTTTCTGTGTGTCCATCATGGTGCATGGCATGAACCTGGAATACCTGTTTTTCTTTTTTTTAAATTTTCTTCAGGATTTAGTTTTACCAATTTTAAATGCGTGTGTATGTGTGTGTGGGGGTCTTATGCATGTTAAAACACCCATCTCAGAGGCCAGAGTTCATGGAGGCCAAAGGTTAGAGATTCAGTTGGATATGGGGTGATAAACACTTTTAACTGTCATATGTGGATGCTGGGAACCATAGTACATTGTATATGCAATAAGAACTCTAAACAACCAAGCATTTATTCTAGCCCCACATCAAAGTTGCTTACATTATGGAGCTGTTATTGTATTTTTTAAATAGTTATTTGTTTTATGTATATGTATTAATATATTTTTGTGTGAGGATACACATACCCAATGAAAACCCACTCTGGCCTTTTACATGGATTCCTGGGATTCAAAACCATGTGGCTTAATTTTTAGTCACCCAGCCCTCTCTCCAGCAATCTAGAGTAATAAACCACTCTCTTCCTTTCACGTTTTTAAAGAAAATTTCTTTCACAAAAGGCTGAAAATCATCTTCTACCTTGCTTGGCGAGGCAGTTTGTGGATGATTCCATAACTGCCTGGACTGAACTGATGGAATGAAATGTGAGTGTCGACAACATGCACAGCTTTCAGAGAGCTGCACAGAGTGCTGACGTCATCACAGAGGGCGGCTGAACTGCGATGAGGTTGGTGGGTGTGAGGGTGATGAGGTCAAAGGGCAGCCTGTGGGCACATTGAGTCTGGAAGGTTTGAGCCAGGGTCTCTAATAGCCCCTGCCCACTGGCTTCTCAGTCACTCTGGGACATGGAACAAGAAGGCTTCTGTGCAGATGCCCCACCCCCTCCTCCTGTGCTGAATCAGCAGTCCAGTGGCTTAGAACATATCCCTGAGCCACAAAGCTGGCATATAGACACTGCACCCAATTATAGAATTATTTAAAGCAATCCTCCCAGGCTGGCACTAGTGTGTCTCGGTTCTTATGCACCCGTTCATTCAGAAAGGACCCAGCTGAAGCCCTCCCTATTCTTTTAGGAATGGATGTGCGATTCCATGGCTGAGGTAAACATTTTGCCTTGACACTGAGGGAAGACACCAAAGCAACCTTCACAGGACACCACTTCATCCTTCAAGCCTCCTGAGTTCAAGATCTCAGGAAGTGCCCCTGACTTCCTCTCAGGAAATGCCAACTTCTGAGCTGCTCTGATGTGAACTGGGAAGTGTTTTTCCCAGTGACACCTCTAGAGGGCAGCACTAAAGCCTACCAGAACTTTCTGCTCTACAACTGGAAAGGAAAACATTGAACCTCAGAATGTTGCTTCCACACCTCACTTGGGCCACTCACACACTTAGCTGAAAGCTCATAGACATGGGGGCCACCTGAAGATGGGGCCTCTGTTTTATTCACCACCTATACCCTCCCGACCAGGCCTGTGCCTGGCATTTGATGGTCTCTAAAAACTGATCACTGAGTATTGATTGGTGTTGACAGGAGGGCTGTTACTGCCTTCTGTGTCAGGTTTCCCATTTGTGGTGCATATTTTTAATTTAATTCCATCAAGCTTCTCTTGTATAGTTTACCACTATTAATATGTTTTTCTATTATAGGAGTGTAGAGGGAGGCAGTGTAAGTGCCCATGGAGACCAGAGGCACGGGAACCCTCTGAGGCTAGGGTAACAGGTGGCTGTGAGCATCCGGTGTGGGTCCTCTGTAAGAACAGTATTGGATTTTGACACTGAGCCATCACTTCAGTCTCCTGTCCCCTCTAAACCATTTTTATCATGGAAATTCCTGGGTCTGTGTTGTAAAACTGCGCACAAGGTGCAAAGAGCCTCCATCCATCAGTCACCATCTCCAACAACCACCAGATAAAGTCACCCTGTTCACCTTTCACCTCTGTGCCCATCTTCTCTGTGACTCTGACCTTAATGTCAGAGCTGAGTTGTCACATGTCCCTGTCACAAATACCTCACTGTGAATTTCCAAATGTAAGTGCACTTTTTCTCCCCTTGAGTTTTTCGCAACAGCATTTTTCTTTGTAATAGACCTGGCTGTCCTGGAACTTGTTCTGTAGACCAGGATAGCCTTGAACTCACAGAGATGAGCCTACCTCTGCCTCCTGAGTGCAGAGACTAGGATGGAGTGCCACCACTGCCTGGAATAAGTACACTTTTTAGAAGGACAGTGTCACACCAAAATCACACTCTGTTATCATAAAATGCAATAATCTATTAATATTTCCTAATAGTCAATATTCAAGTTTTATTTCTATATGTCTCTTCCTGTAACTTGATTCAGCTCCAAAGAGCAACAAACCAGACAGGTATTTGATTGTTTTCTCCTGAAAACGTCTTTTAATGGGAATGTGTTCTTTGGTAGAGAGCATAGTAAGATTTTCATTTGTTCAAATCTATCTATCTCCTCCTCATTATCATTTTTTTGTGGGGTTGGTTTTCACATTCTATGGGGAGCACCAGGGAAGTGGGGCTCTTCCATTTCAAGAGTACAGGTTCTTCAGCCATGCCAGGTTTGGGCCCTGAGCATCGTCGTGGTGGCTGGGCACACTGGGCATGCTCCAATTATCTCCCACAGGCACTGGGTAGTTGTAGTGTGTGGCCTGGTTGATAAAGGGGTCATACTTGGTTAGGGGCTGACTGTGGACATAATTATAGTCCCAGCCTTCTTGTCTTGGCAGTGCCATGGGGCTAAGATGAATACCATTGATGGCAAATCTGTTTACAGTTTTCCTGGTGTGAAGATGCTCAGCTTACAGAAGTATTTTAATCTTGTCTTAGGTCTGGTTCCAGAAGCACAATGCACAACCTACCTCCACCCCTGCTGCAGCCAGCAGCCACCTGATGCATTCCATTCGGCCCCGGCCATTGAAGTAGTGAAGTACGGGCTTCCCGGCCATGGCAGCAACTGTGGTTTCACTGACTGTGAAGGAAAAGCAAAGAGGTCAATGCCAGGGAGACTGTGCTTTGGGATGTGAGTAATAACACACTAGAGGAGGGAAGTCTGCCTTCTTCATGGGCAGCTTCCAGGGGACGCAGGAGGTTGTTGACTAATTTTTCATCCATCAGTGACCACAAACCTGCAATTGCACCAAACAGGTCTCAGCTGGCCATGTGCCTTCTCTTTGAGGACATAAACGGAGCAGCCCTGATCCTCTAGTGATGAAGGACTGGAAGCTGTTGACCTTGGACAGCTGAGCCATCACAGAGGGATGAGACAAAGTCCCTCCCCAGTCCTTTGGACCCTGGGCTGCTCAGTTCAGAAGCTGTCAATGGCTTGGTGTCACCCTGGCTGTGTCAAACCCTAGTTCTCCCAGGAGAAGAGCTCGTCTCTTTGCTTCAGTTCTGTTTCCCACTGAACACTGGACCCTGTTCTGTGTTCACAGCAGAGCGGTTGATGCAGTAACACCACGTATCGGGCAGTTGTTCATTGGAACTTTACTTCATCTCCACAAAGTTATTGGTGAGGAGCTGTTCCTGTCACACGTTTGCAGGAGAGAGGATGTCCATACAGTTCCATGCTGAGGAGACCCTGAGAGCACAGCTCAGTTCCTGCACAGTGAGCAGATGTGCTGGGTCCCTGCTGATCAGGGGCTGGAAAGTCAACATCATGGGTCATGGGTAGTGCTTTAACTTGTGATGAAATAGGAAATTTCAGTGTCTGCCTTTTACAAAGTACTGTGTGAGTGTGAGTTAGTGAGTGTGTGTGTGTGTGTGTGTGTGTGTGTGTGTGTGTGTGT